GCTGACATCTTTACCAAGGCCATGACTAAAAGTCAACACCTCATTCTTGTGGGCAAACTGATGCTGATGTCTACACATCAGTTTGAGGGGGAGTGTGAAGATATACCTCGATGTACATTATTAGAGTAGTCCTTATTGTACAGTATTGTATTCTTATTATTTTATTTGTTCTTTTTATCTTTCAGCCCCGTAAGGGCATTCTTGTAATTGTACATATCTTTTATCTCTTTAATATAAAAGAGACTCTTTGGGGTGGGGGTCGACTATTCTTGACACCCTTAATTCTATTTTCTTCTTGCTCTCAATTCGGTTCACAAAGCCAATGATCTTGCCGGCACTTGTAATACAACTAAGAGTTATACTTTGATTGAATTTCCTTCTCTTATTGAACCTGAGCAAGCCACTTGATTGTTCACATTTTCTAATAATACCACCCATGCTTTATTGCCCAAGGTTTTCAACCTTGCTGCCATCAAATTTAATTTTGGTACATTCTTTGGTGGGGGTGACCAATTTGGTGTGCTTTTGTCCCTTCCAGTGGACATTGTTGCCATTGTGAAATCTCTTAGACAATTTTAACATCCCATAAATCTCCTCCTGATGGAGTTTGCTTTGCTTCAAGCATTTGCCAAAGAAGACAAGAAGAGAGGAATTCTTCAAATCCTCTAGATAGGAAAGGGCAAATCATGTGGAGGCGTGCTTATGCAGTTACCACTTAGTACATTTGGGAGGATAGGAATGCCATAATCTTCTCCAAATAATGCAGTGAGACCTAAGATGAAACATATTGATTTGGTGACCATCAAATGGTCCACTGGATACTGACGATTAGGAGATGGCATACTATAATAAGCTTGTTGACTGAGAGATAGTATGTGGTATAGGAGTGTTCCTCACCCCTTTTCATGAAGTATGGTCCCTGGAAACCTGGGCTTCTTGCAACTATGTAGCTAATTTATAGGCGTTATGGGTGAAACTCTTTATGAAGCAATTGGAGGATATTCTGCACAAAGAGGAAATAAGTTGGAGATAGAAATCTTGGTGCAAATGGTTAAATGAGGGAGATAGTAACACTAGATTATTCCACTCAGTGGCAAATGGTAGAAGGAAAAATAACTTTGTTTCAAAACTAGAAATTGAAGGAGCAGCTATTTCCAACATGATAGAGATAGCATGGGCCTTGGTAAATCATTTCAAGTCTATCTTCAGAAGGCCATTGAATGAGAAGGTTTGCTCAGAGGGTTTGGAGTGGCCGAATATAGGAAAAGAGAATAGGGGGTGGTTAGAAAGGAAGTTTGAACTAGAGGAAATAAAGGAAGTTGTGTTTTCATTCGATAGAAAAGCTGTGGGCCCAGATGGATTTACAATGGCCTTCTATCAGGATTTTTGGGAGATTTTGAAACGGGATCTAATGTTAGTCTTTGATGAATTCCATAGTAGGGGAGTAATTAACCTGGGATTAAACTCCACATTTTATTGCTTTGGTTCCAAAGAAGATAGAGGCTTCACAACCGAGGGATTTTAGACCGATAAGCTTGGTGAACAACTTATATAAAATAATTGCAAAAGGGTTGTTTCTTAGGATCAAGGAAGTTCTTCCTACTATTATTGCACCCAACCAATGAGCTTTTGTGAAGAGCAGACAGATTTTTGATCAAATCCTGATTGCAAATGAGAGTTTGAAGAGTTTCAGAAGGACAAAGAAGAAGGGAGTGGTGTGTAAATTGGACCTAGAAAAGGCTTTTGATCTAGTTGATTGGTCCTTTTTGTTGGAAGTCTTGGCTAACTTCGTTTGGAGATAGATGGTGCAATTGGATATGGGGATGTGTTAGGAGTCGTCACTACTCAATTTTGGTTAATGGAATTGTGGTAGATTTTTTTCCTGCTCTGAGAGGAATTAGACAAGGAGACCCACTCTCCCCTTTCTTATTCACAGTGGTTGCAGAAGTCTTAGGGAGATTGATCCATAAAGCTGACTTAAGGAATTTATTAAGAGGGTGGGGAATTGGAAGGGAGGAAATTCCACTTATGCACTTGCAGCTTGCAGACGATACAATGTTTTTCTGTGAAGGTGGGGACATTAATTGGATCAGGAACATGAAAATGATAATACAACTCTTCGAGCAGATATCCAATCTTAAGGTGAACTTTGATAAGTCATATAGTGGGAGTGAACATGGAGGAAAGGGAAATAAGTGAATATGCAGACATTTTAGGTTGTGTAGTTTCGGAGTGGCCTATAAATTACTTAGATCTCCCCTTAGGAGATAGCCCCAAGAAAAAAATAATTTTGGAACCTAGTGGTGGAAAGATTAGAGAAAAGACTTGTTTCTTGGAGGAAAAATTATCTTTCATTAGGGGTAGGATCACTTTGGTTAGGTCTACCTTAGCTAACCTACCTGTGTATTTCTTGTCAATTTTTTAAGATACCCACAGAAGTCTCTAATAAATTGGAAAAATTAATGAGAGATTTCTTATAGGAGCCAGGAGAGAAGAGGGACCATAGGATAGGGTGGGAGGTGGTGACTAGGTGCAAGAAGCTAGGTGGTCTTGGGATTGGGAACGTTATGTAGAGATGTATTAGGGCAGCAGTTTGTTGGTCTTTATGGGAAGAAAGAAATTTACGAATTTTTTCAGAAAAGGAGAGAACCATTGAAAACTTAATGGAATTGATACACTTAAGGGTGGTACACTAGCTGTAATTCCTAGACTTATTTTCAGATTTCTCCTTGGATGACTTGCTGAGAAAATGAAAGGAGATAGCTAACTCTGCCAAGGTTAAAAGAGTTTCTAATCCCTCTTGGACCCCTCCTCCCACTGGGTTCATAAAACTGAACTTTGATGGCAGTAGCTTAAGGAACCCAAGGCTGTCTGGTATTGGGGGAGTTTTCAGGAATGAGGAAGGGCTTATTCTAGCCATGTTCTCATGCTCTATTGGGGAAGGAGTCTCTCTTAGGGCTGAGATCCTTGCGGCCTTGGAAGGTGCCCAAAGAGCAAGGGAGTTGAACATCAGAAGACTGGTTATTGAAGGTCACTCGGAGGTGGTGGTGAGATGGCTAAGGGAAGACAGCTCTGGTATATGGAATTACAGCAATGAAAAGAACAAACTTAAGTGGCTGACTAGGGACATTGAGGTGAAATATAGTTGGGTAAAGAGAACTGCTAATTCACTTGCCAATGGGCTAGCCAAGCAAGGGGTGAATATGGGTTCCTTTTTTTGGGTTCATTTCTAATTTTGCTTCTTTTGTTTTATGCTGTTGGGGGAGTTAAGACAGTTTACCTCACCCTCTATTGTAATTAAAGTTTCATTGTCTTAATAAAATTTGCCGTTATTGATAAAAAAAAACTCTTTATGATGTATTTCAATCCAATTGGAGATGGGGGCTCCATCAGAGAAGATTATACAATTTCTTTAGAGTCTTAGCTCAATTTCCCCGGTAGTCATGGATTGGATGAAAGACTGTTGGATGGATATTGGAGCTTCATATTTGATTCTGGAGGCAAGAGCTGTGGCTCCTAGGGAAATCACCTTGTTTAGATGGATCCTGACATCGTCCTACTTGTATTACATTCTTTCCAGGGAGGGTATAAAGACATGCCCAGATTAAAAGGACAAAAGGGAAGATATTGACAGACAGGATTACGATTTCAGTCCCTTATGTTGTGCTTAAGGCCTTGATTCTACTTAACACCTGACTTGAGATTGTTATCTTTCTTCCTTCTGGGACTAGCTTGCTATTCATAGTTTGCCTGGTGGGCCCATGTTCTTCAGTCTCTTGTGGACTTTAACAACTGTACTGCTTTCCAAAATCACTCAAATCGAGGATCCTGGCCTTCCTCTCTGAAGATTCAATCCAAGTATTTAAGTGGAACTATGGCATTGGACCCTCTATTTATAGGAAGGAGGTCTGTGCCTTACTGCCTTGAATTGGATGCCCTAAGCCTACTACCTAAAATTGGTCATCCATGGGTCCAGATCAGGATGTTACATGTATCCATTTATAGAGCTACCTAATCTGCTTTCATTAAGGTAGTTTTTAGGATTAACTGACCTAGTATAACCAGTTAGGCCCATCAAATGGTCCATCTAGGAGTAGTCTTAAAAGTTAAAAACTAACTAGGTTAACAGAGAAATTTGAATCCTTGATCTCTCCTCTCTAATTAAATACTAATTTAGTGATTTTGTGAAAACATTGAAGATATTTGCTCACTTCATTTGTAGATGATATCATTAAGATCTGGCCAATTATTGCTATTGCCGTTTCTTCCTCAGCCAATAGAGGGATTGTAAGGATTCAACCAGTTCTTATGTTCAGCTTCAAGCTGTTCTCTACCTTTCCTGAATCCTAATTTTGATTGAGGCTCTTCATATTTTTAGTAAACTTTCATTTACTGTTAGCAATAAAATATAGGGTGCAACTAATTGCCTTGTGCAATTTTGTACAAGGAAATTATATATGATTGTTTCTTGCCCCATGCTTCCATAAATGACCTTGGAATCTTCCACATGACAATTAAGTTTGGAGCCAAAAGTATCACACATGTTTGTCTACCCTGCTAATACTCGTTGGGAAAACTTCATTTTCAGCCCCAGGGCACTTGCCACACGTCCACAAGAATATCTTCTTTTGAGTTTTCTATTAAATATTAGAACATTAAATGGACAATATTTGCTAGAGAAAGTGACAATACAAGGTGGGGTATGGGATTGATGTGAACTGGAGGATGGAACACCTGGCCTATCTGGAGGGTCCCCTACCTGGTGGACAGCTGCAGGGCAGAAATGGTTATGCTCTAATCTTATGTTTTTCTTGGGATTGCCCTGACCTTTGCATTGTTCTACCTTGATATTGGGCTGTCACTTTTATAGTTCAGATTTACATTAATTCTTGCCAACTCCATATAGTTAGGATGATGCTTTGTTGAGGTGGTGTTAAATTGCATTTTCTTTTTCTTCTTTTTTCCTAAGGTCTGAACTCTAGTGTCTTTCTACTGTACAGTAATGGATTTTGGCGTTCAGTATGGAATATTGATTTTAAAGATGATACACAACTGGTGGAACTGAGTGGCAAGATACAGGTATTACTTACAAATTCATAATGTTGGCATTAACAGTAAATGCACATGATGTATGTTAGTGATATTTGGTGGCCTTTGTGGATCACCTTGGCTGAATTTTAAGTTTGTGTATGCATGCTTATGGGTAAATTCCTTATAACACCAGTTGGTTGGGTTTATTTCAGGTGGGAGCACACTATTTTGAAGAAGGAAATGTGCAATTAGATGCCAACCATGAATGTATAGACACAACCATTTTCCAGGTTAGTATAAATAATAGTGATGAAAGATTCTCAGATCATGATTTTTTTCTTAGGCTCATTTAGGAAAGAGTACAGGTACAATTATGTAGAGTAAAAATACATACAAAATAAAAGGTTTTACACTGCATATTTGTATTTGTACTCCTTCCAAACTGAGCCTTAAGTTATTGTGCCCGCTCGATTGAATGTGCCTTTGCATCTCGTACTTGTTGAAATAAAGTTGAGTATTATGCAATGTAAGAGACCAGGTCCATTGGGTGGTTGAGTATTTAGAAATGATTGAATCTATGATATAATTGAAATATGTTGAAATTATATACTAATCTGATGGTAATACACATGAAAAGCTGATTGGGATATGTCATGGGGAAAGACTTTGGCCTTCCATCTTATTCCCAATAATCTCATCCATTTGGTTATTGGCTACCGTCAGACATTCCACATAAGCTGATTAATGGAATATTATGGAAAAGATTCACATATAGGGGGGAGGCCTTCTTCAATTATCATTTTCAGAAGCTAACATACTATGTATAGTTGATTATTGGGTTTTCCTTTCATCTGAAGTTTTATTCAGCATACCAATTTTTATTCTATTATCATGCTTCAATTTCAGCCAGTCCCCCCTGTATGCTTTCCTGTGTTATTGGAAACAAATTACTTCAAAAATCAATTCCTATCCTTGTAATTAGTTGAAGATTGACCACTTTCTTTGTCTTCTTATTGGTTTTCCATGTTACAGATAATTCATTTAATGTGACTGACATTTGTTATTTCTGATTTCAGTCGCCTGAAGATTCGGCACTTTCTATAGCAAACATGATTCGCCACCACGAGACTGAATACATGGCATCTCTTGAGGTTCTTAATTTGTTTCTGTTCTTAGGTTAAAATAGTTGAATTGATGTCAGAGTATCTTTTTCTGACAGCTGCACATTGGCAGGTATCTTATTCAAATTTGCCAGATACCACTTTCAAGGTACTTTCAAATCTTTGCATAATTTAAATTTGATAAGCATGCTGAATTTATGAAAAAGGAGAATCTGGTTAAATCTTTATACCATTTAATAGATGGTTTTGTGGCTAGCAATTTCCATATAGACAATACCCAATCAAATCCAGAGTCCAGTAACCAGGTCGCCAGACTCACCACCTCTTTTGGGTTGTAGATCTAATCACACTGATGAGATTAGACTACTTATCCAATTTCTCTCCTCTTGAAAAATTGCAATGAAGAATTTTGACAAATATCCAAGATCAGTTGATTCGTGAAACTAATAGCATTAACAAATTGGTGCAGTGTATTGAGTTAACAATCCAGAAGTTTGGCTTTCAACTACTCTGAGAGACAGATAATAATACCAACTGTAGCATCAACTTTGGTTGTATAAGACTTATAATGGGCTCCATCCCTTTATTGAATTAGCTTACCTTATGTTAGTGGAAGATCCAAATACCAAATGCATTATTTTAATGAAGTTACAGTATCTGAACCTCTATCCTTGCACCCCCCCCCCCCACCACCTTCACCAAAAAAAATGAAAAGATAGAAGGAAAAAGAAAAGAACTACTTAGAGTGAATTGGGATATCCTTAATGTTTAAAGCTCCCCAACCACCAAAAAAAGAAAAGATAGAAGGAAAAAGAAAAGAACTACTTAGAGTGAATTGGGATATCCTCAATGTTTAAAGCCTCCATTGTTATTTCAATATATTGGTCTATGTGTTCCCTTCTAGTGGTGAAAATCCCATTTCCTTGTGAGTTGCAATGCAGGATCTCCGCAGGAAGCTTCCAGTTACGCGTACACTATTCCCATGGAATAACACTTTGCAAATTAGCCTTAACCGAGAGATCACAAAAGAACTTGGACTTGGCAAGTGAAAAAAATACCCAGCCTGAGGTGAGGATTGCCTTGGTAATATTGAGCCAGAGTAGTTCAATATTATTTCAGATGAATTTTGCGTGAATAAATCCCTTGAGAGTTCTTGTCATTTGTCACACTGCTTGTGTCTCAAAGTTTGTTTTTGTGAGAAAGCGTTGGGAATTATATTTTCTAAGTATTTTTTGTACAATTGTATTTGGTTCATTTGATGTTGATATAAAACAGTGAGGAATTTGTGCACTATTTTCTCCTTTAAAGAAGTTGATTAAATGCTCGAGGCACGGATAGTTACAAAGCCCATTTGGCTTTGGCTGGCCACACAGGCTTTAGATATCAAAGCAGCGACCACAACGTTGGGGCTCAGGTTCGATCTGTTTGGACGAAAAAAAAAGTAAAAAATATGGTTCAAAGTATACGATTCAAACAACTGAAATTCTTTTTTTTATTTTTGTTTCGTCTTTTCTTTTACCTTTTCAGGCTGAAGGTTTCAATCATATTCATAGGCATGTTAAGAGGGGTTCTTATGTTTGAACATAAAGACACCCTGTATTTTGATGAATCCAAAAACCGATATTGTATCATAAGATGTGCACCAATACATTGAGACATTTGGAGCCTTGCTCTACAGGTCCATTTGTAATAACTAAGGCAATCTGATACACCACCTCGGTTCTATTTGTAATACTCATGGGACCCTATATCATGATTTGCTTAGTGTCTTATGGTTCCTGGTTTCCATGGAGGAGTCCAGATTTGATCCTCACACCCACTTCACAGCTCGTTCAGAAATGTCTCCCGTATTTCTATGATTTTATGAAGGGTTCAATTATGATATGGAAAAGATATGATATCTGAAAAACTTATGACCAGTCAACTGGTCACAGCACATCCCACCATGTATTGGGAACAGCTTCCCGTGGATAAGAACATATAATTACTGGAGATGTCCCTTATGTGAGGTTGGGAATGTATTGTGAGGAGCAGATCTGGGCTTCTTTTATTCATGGCTGAGGTGGTGTGAGGAGCATTCCGTGAGGACAAATCTGGGTTTTCCATAGTGCGTAAAAACTTCTGACCAGTCAACTCAACTGGAATCATAAATGTTGTAGCCAATTAGGTGTAATTTATCAAAATTCATGGATGGGTTTTGATTGGTCAAATTTTTTTTCCATACCATATCTTTTTTGCATCATAGATTTTTCTAACATGAGTTCGGATCGGCTCCTCATAAAGTGTCACACATGTCCCAAATCACATTGCACCCATGCATTGGGAACATCTCCCGCACTTGTCATGGGAGGTGTTCCAAATGCAGGGGTGGAATGTGTTGTGTGAGGTGTGAGGAGCACTTTATGGGGAACCCATGTGCCTTTATTAGTGTTCACGTGGAAGTAGGGGTGTCAATGGACCAGTTTTGGGTTAAACCCCGTTCAAATCAAAATCAATTTAGACAGATTGGATGGACCGGTAAGACATTGAATTGGATCAGTCCAAACTTAATGGTCCAAAGTGTTTATTGGATTTGATTGGACATGGCCCATTCATAATGGATTTATATTGGATTTGGTTGGATTGAACCAACATATGGTTCATCGATAGAAGATAAGAATTCAGGTGCCAATGGACCAGGTTTGGGTTGGAACCAATCTAAATTAAAACCAATTTGAACAGATCAGATGGTCTAGACATTAAATTTGACCAATTGAAAATAGTCCAAAGTATTCATAAGATTGGATTGGACTTATGGAAGTGCAAAGTTTGGTCGTTTGATCATGATTCAATTAAGTATGAGATCTTTGTTAAAAAGGGGTAGTTTATAATGACAATTACCCTATGAATTTTCATTTGTGACAAAGAGCCCTTGAACCTTCACTTTGTAACAAATACCTCCTTGGTTGGTAAGTCAAATAATAAAATGCATTAAATTATCAAGATACCCACCCAACAGATTTATCAAGATACCCAACCCTGTACTACGCCAAGTATGAGATATTCTCCATGTATGACTGCGATAAACATGGGCAGGAGATCTGGACTTGCAGAGTATATAGCATCGCCTAAAGGGCTGATGTATAATCAAGGTTCAGGTCAGCAAATGGATTCCTTGGATTTGATAAATGAAATAAGGGAAAGGAACGAATTTACTGGGTGAAAGCCAAACATCCTTTAGGCTATGTTTGGTTTGAAGGAAAATGCAGGGAAAGGAAGGGAAACCTTTACAAACCTTGTATAGGTTCCCTTGCCTTTCTCTTCCTTTCCCTACCTTTTCCTTCAAACTAAACATAGCCCTAAACTCTAATTGACCCAAAAATACCTCTATTTTCTCCAAATGAAACCAGATAAAATAACGAGAATTATTTCCATCTAAATATAGGAATGCCTCTCTTCATCTTAAAATATAAAAAATATCCACTCCTAATAAACCAAGAAAAACCTCTACCACTTCATCTAAATATTAAATCCAGCCAAAAATATGCAAGGATCTATGCCGAAGGCACATTCATTCATCAATCAACGAGTTCATCTCACGAGGGATTACATTGACTAGAAAGGAGAGAGGTGATGACCAAGTGCATGTTCTAATACAAGTTAAAGCAAATTTGGCTAATAAATGGGCAGCCTCGTTACTTATAACATGGCATATTTTAGACCTTCATACATCGCTGTAGCGCGTTGTTGTGAATCAACCCTGTACTAGCGCGTTGTTTTAGACCTTTATCTCAAAAGCACCATATAAAGAGAATGTAAAACTTTCCGTTGCCGGGAATCGAACCCGGGTCTCCTGGGTGAAAGCCAGATATCCTAACCGCTGGACGACAACGGATTTGTTGATTCAACTTTGTTATTTTATGTACAACTACACCAAGCTCTCTCCCCCCTCCGCCCATTGGATTATCCATATATATCTATTTATATCTATATCTATATCAATATCAATATAAATCTATTAAGCTGAAATGTGTAGGGTGAGAGAAATGGAATTTAATAGTATTTTTTGCTCTTTTTTATAGAAATTATAAGGATGCTACTCTCTCTTTTTCTTACAAATTACAACAATGCCACTCTCTCTCTTTTTCTTACAAATTACAAGAATGCCATCTCTCTCCTTATAAATTACAAGAATGCCACACTCTCTCCAATTGAGGGAGACCTTAGCTCGACGTCTCGGCTGCTAGGGGACCTGCAATCAAAGGTAGTCGAGATCGAGTTGAGCTGAGCTAAGTTTGAACTTCTGAGCTCAAGCTCAAGTCTCTAATTCGAATCAAGTTCGAGCTAGACGACACCTCGACCACTGAGGGAGACCTCGGCTCGGCACCTTGGTCACTAAGGGAGATCTCGGCTCAACACCTCGACAATTGAGGGAGACCTCAACTCGACACCTTGTCAACTAAGGGAGACCTTAGCTTGGCACCTCGCCTGCTAGGACCTCAGCTCGACACTTCAGCAGCTGAGGGAGACATCTGTTTGGCACCTCGGCAATTGAGGGAGACCTCGGCTTGGCACCTCGATTGCTTGAGAGACCTACAATCAAAGGTAGCCGAGCTCGAACTTTCGAGCTTTTGTCTCGAGCCTAGATCGAGCTTGAGCTCAAGTCTCTAATTTGAATCAAGCTCAAGCCTAATAGTTTATGAGCGAGCCCCTGCAACGCAGGGCCCCCCTCTGCTAGTAAATATATTAAGTTGAAATATGTACGTAAGAAGGCATGAGGATAAGGGAAATGGAACCTAATAGTATTTTTTGCATTTTTTTCATAGAAATTACAAGAATGCCACTCTCTACCAACTCTTTCTCTCTTTTACTTTTTTTCCCTTTCAAATTACAAGAATGCCACTCTCTCCTACCGACTCTCTTTCTTGCTTTTTTTTCTTTCAAATTACAAGAATGCCACTTTCTCTCCTACCAACTCTCTCTCTCTCTCTCTCTTACAAATTACAAGAATGCCATATCTCTCTTTCTCATGCCATCTCTCTCTCCTTATAAATTATAAGAATGCCACTCTCTCTCCAACTAAGGAAGACCTCAGCTCGGCATCTCGGCTGCTAGGGACCTGCAATCAAAGGTAGTCGAGTTCGAGCCGAGCTAAGCTTGAACTTCTGAGCTCAAGCTCAAGTCTCTAATTTGAATCGAGCTCAAGCTAGATGACACCTTGACCACTAAGGGAGACCTTGGCTCGGTCACTGAGGGAGATCTTGGCTCAGCACCTCGACAATTGAGGGAGACCTCAGTTTGGCACCTTGTCAACTAAGGGATACCTTAGCTCGACACCTCACCTACTAGGGAAACCTCAACTCGACACTTTAGCAGTTGAGGATGACCTCGATTTGGCACCTCGGAAATTGAGGGAGACCTCGACTGCTTGAGTGATCTACAATCAAAAGTAGCCCTGAGCTTGAACTTTCGAGCTTTTTGACACAAGTTGAGCTCGAACTCAAGTCTCTAATTCGAATCGAGCTTGAGCCTGATAGTTTATGAGCGAGCCCCTGCAAGACAGGGCCCCCTCTGCTAGTAAATATATTAAGCTGAAATGTGTACTTAAGAAGGCTTGAGAATGAGGGAAATGGAATCTAACAATATTTTTTGCCTTTTTTCTTAGAAATTACAAGAATGCCACTCTCTACCAACTCTCTCTCTCTTTTGCTTTTTTTTTTCTTTCAAATTACAAGAATGACACACACTCTCTCTCTTGCTTTTGTTCTTTCAAATTACAATAATGCCACACTCTCTCCTACCAACTCTCTCTCTCTCTCCTTATAAATTACAAGAATGTCACTCTCTCTCCAACTGAGGGTGACCTCAGCTTGGCATCTCGGCTACTAGGGGACCTGCAATCAAAGGTAGTTGAGTTCGATTCTAGCTGAACTCAAAATTCAGAGCTCAAGCTAGACGACACCTCGACCATTGAGGGAGACCTCGGCTTGGCACCTTGGTCACTGAGGGAGATCTCGACTCAGCACCTCGACAAAATGAGGGAGACCTTGGCTTGACACCTTGTCAACTAAGGGAGACCTTAGCTCAACACCTCATCTGCTAGGGAAACCTCAGCTCGACATTTCAGCAGATGAGGGAGACCTCAACTGCTTGAGAGGCTTGCAATCAAAGGTAACTGAGCTCGAACTTTTGAGCTTTTTGACTCAAGCCGAGCTCGAGTTCGAGCTCAAGTCTCTAATTCGAATCGAGCTCGGGTCTGATAGTTTATGAGCAAGCCCTTGCAACGGAGGGCCCACTCTGCTAGTAAATATATTAAGCTGAAATGTGTACGTAAGAAGGCATGAGGATGAGGGAAATGGAATCTAATAGTATTGTTTGCCTTTATTCGTAGAAATTACAAGAATGCCACACTCTCCTACTCTCTCTCTCTCATGCCATCTCTCTCTCTCTCCTTATAAATTACAAGAATGCCACTATCTCTCCAACTGAGGGAGGCCTCATCTCGGCATCTCGGCTGCTAGGGGACCTACAATCAAAGGTAGTCGAGTTTGAGCCGAGCCAATCTCGAACTTCTGAGCTCAAGGTCAAGTCTCTAATTCGAATCGAGCTCGAGCTAGACGACACCTCGACCACTGAGGGAGACCTCGGCTCGGCACATTGGTCATTGAGGGAGATCTCGGCTCAACACCTCGACAACTGAGGGAGACCTTAGCTTAGAACCTTATCAACTAAGGGAGACCTTAGCTTGACACCTTGCCAGTTAGGGAAACCTCAACTTGACACTTCAGTAGCTGAGGGAGACCTCGATTTGGCACCTCGGCAATTGAGGAAGACCTCGGCTCGGAACCTTAGCTTGGCACCTCGGCTACTTGAAAGACCTACAATCAAAGATAGCCGAACTCGAACTTCCGATCTTTTGACTCGAGCCAAGCTCGAGCTCAAGTCTCTAATTCGAATCAAGCTCGAACCTGATAGTTTATGAGCGAACCCCTGCAACGTAGGGCCCCCTTTGCTAGTTTTCCATTAAATATCTTTGAAACTCTTTTGACACTAGTAAATGGATTGGGTGGGGTTAAGGGCCAACCCCCCAACCATGAACAATGACCTAATAAAGGGCCAAAATCAAGCCTATCCCTTGGGTCCAGCCATATACTGAGGTTAAAGCTTAGGTTTTTTTCAACACAACTTAGGTTTAGTTGGGAGGGATAATCATTTCTAGCTTGGCCCAACCTTTAATGTGTATAAATATTACATGCATTATTGTATAGTTATAAAACACAATATATATGTCATATATTATAAAATAGTATATATTATTAATAAAAATATATTAAAAGTTATGGGCATGGAAACTCATTCCTCTTTCTTTTTCTCTTTTTAATTCTCCAGAAAATTACAAATGGAACGAAAAAACACCAAACTATTGAAATTGTTACTCAAATATATTAGAATGCCGATGAATTTTAAAATATACTCAAAATATGTTTTTATTTACTTTGTTTTGAGTAATATGACAAATTTTCATAATTAATATAGTCATTTACAGAGAACAGTTTCTACCAAATACCGAGAATCTATCTCTCTATATACTTAAAAAATAGTTGTCCACATTGGTTTATTTCATCTATATTTATATTTCTTCCCAAGGCTCTTAGAATTTTATATTTTTTGAATTGAAAAAATAAAAAAACAAATATGAGGCTATTTAAACTTGTTCACAAGTTTTAGAGAACTGCACATGGTTGGCTGTAAATAATAGAGGGTCTATTTGGTTCATAGTTGAATAAAAAATTCATAATCCCTTAGAATGGGAATGGGAATGGTCTATTCCCATATGCTCATTTTGAAAAGAGTATAAATACAAATATATATATACAAGGTTTTTCACTCTACATTTTTATATTTATGCTCTCCCCAAATAGTTGGAATTTGGATTCCAGATCTCTATTCGCATGAAGTACATGGCTAGTGCTTATTTTTAAAATGAGAATTTATGATGTAAAAAATATATGGTATTGGAAGAGTCTTGACCAATAACCCCTTGATTGGTCATAAGTTTTTTCGGATATGATGTCTTTCCGGTATCCTTTTAAAATAATTGCTCCTAGACTAGTAGATTATGGCCATATTTTAATTTTGGGTAAAATATGAAAACCTCCCATGAAATTTCTAATAATCATAAAAACCTTTCTTATAGTTTTACTTTAACAAAATCCCTCCGGAACTTTTAAAGAATTCGACAAAAACTTCCCTTTCGTTATTAACCCTGATAAAAAAACATTAAATTGATGCATAAATCTTTTTCAAGTACCCATTTTACCCTTTTGTAAAATAACCCATGTTCAAGGTGTCCAAATGCAAAATTTTGCCATGTCAGCCACCATGAGCCATGCATGAATTTTGCCGCTTAAGTATCAAACTCCGTTAAGATTTTAGAAGCAACTTTCTTTTCTGATTCCTGGAGATCTCTTGCTTTTACAAAAACTTGGAAAGCATTTTGTTATCCTTGTTGGCTTTGTTACGAAAACCTCCCATGTAGTTAAGGGTGTCAATGGACCAGTTTTGGTTTGGACCCTGTCCAGTCTAAAATCAATTTGGATGGATTGGACGGACCAAAAAGACAGTGGATTGGACCAATCCAATCCAAAATATTTATTAGATTGGACTGGACCTGGTTTGTCGGTAATAAATTCATATTGGATTTGGTTGGATTAAGCCAATATCCAGCCCATTGATATAAGATAAGAATATAGGTGTCAATGGACTGGGTTTGGATTGAAACCAATCTACATTAAAATGAATTTGAACAAATTGGATGATCTGAACATTGAATTAAAGCAGTCTAAAATGGTCCAAATTATTCATTGAATTGGATTGGACCTGGTCTATTTGTAATAGACTCACATTGGACTGGATTGGATTGGACCAAATCTAATCTAATTGCCGAAGTTTTCATTTATGGAGATGGGCTCTAATCAATTCAAAAGTTTCACCGTTCATCTCTTCATTGTTGAGAGAGCAGCGACAAGAGACTTTCCAACACCAAGTAACAGCGGCGACCCCCTCCAACTCTCTCGTATCCTCTCTCTCCCTCTACTTTTTTTTATCTTTCTTCTTCTTCGTCCCACTCCCCACCACTATCACCGCCCAACCCATGTTTCTTCCCCCCAATCACCGCCACTACAACTCTTAGCAGCGGTGATTTGCCATCTCTCTGAGTCTATCTTCTTCTTCATTCAAGTCTCTCTTTCTGATCCCATTCTCCCCTATCGTTCTCTATCTCTTTCCCGTCTCATCACCGTCGCTGCAACGACGGATCTAAACTGGGCGGCAACCTCTCCTTCCCCCATCTCTTCTCTTCTCTTCCTCTCTCTCTCTCTCTCTCTCTTTCTTTCTCTCTCTCTCTTTCCTCTAGTCACTTTATTTGTTTTGTTTTGTTTTTCACTCTTTCTTTCTTCCTCATTCTTTCCATCATTCCCCGATGAGAAATCTTGATTGGTTGTTTGTCTTCTTCGTCTGGACGACGTCAATGAATAGAGCTCTCAATACAGAGTAGTAGTGGTAGTTCAACGTACTCACGCTATTGGTTTGAAGCCAGAGCATCATCTTTGGTTCTGACAGTCATCTGATTATCCTATGGCTTCCATCTTCATTTGAAGGCAAGTAAGCAATACCGAAATCCATTGATGTTCACCTGTTTCATTGACCGAGTGCATGCCAAAACCCAATCAGGTAATCCTATTCAATCCATATTTTCCCTATGGGTTGTTTCTTCTTTCACTATGTTTCTTTTTCTTGGCTTCCTCGATGGAATGGCGAACTTCTGGGTGGTTGCTGAAGCTGGTAATGGAGTAGTTGCTGATTCGGTTTCCTATGGAAGCTTTGACACCACCTAGTCTCACCATTGTTCTTTCATTGGATGCTTTATATATCATGTGAACTCGTTTTGAATATGCTAGAGAAGGGATCTCCCCCCTGTGTTATTTTCTTAAAGAGGGAGGTGGAGGAGATCGATTCCGGTACTAGGAGTCAATTTGGCCACAGAAATTAAGAGATCACATCTCCGCCCCACAAGGAGCCGCCCCACAATACATTCCGCCGTGTATTGTGAACGTCGACTGTGGCATTTTAGTAAAAGCATATGCAAATTAATTTAGAAAAGGGTAAAATAGGTATTTGAAAAATTTATGCATTGGTAAACGTTTTTTTGTCTGAATTAGTAACGGAAGAGGATTTTTATCATTATTTTAAAAGTTTAGGGGTGGTTTTTGCTAAAATAAAACTATAAAAGAGGTTTTTATGATTGTCAGGAGGTTTTTGTATCTTACCCTTTACCCATTTTTTAACATCAACCCGTGCATTAGACGGGTCTGTTATAGTTAAAAAAACCAAAACCTAACATACCTTATTGTTTTCTATAAAAACTAATAATTATCATATAATAGAAGTAAAACGGGCGTTGTTGGGTCAGTTATACTGCTCCCCAAGTCTAAAGCCCTTCGACTTCGTTAGAAAAACAAAAAAAATTTCAAAGACTTTGGGAAAATCAAATCCCTCTCGATCACGTTCCCAAGAGATCGGAACTGGTATTTGTTGCATTTTTTTTTTACAGAGAAATTCTAGTATTTTTTTTCTCGCTTGATTTACATTTCTTGCTTCTTCACTCGTTCTGGCGTTTTATTTTCTTCGTTTCCTTATTCTGCAATTATTCGTTTGAACTACTTCCGTTGTAGCTTCAAAATTTTAGGGTTTAAATTACAACTATTGGGATAAAGTTGTTGATCTCTGAAGATTGAGAAGGTTTGAAGCTTGATGGCATTTGTTTGCGTTTTTTTCTGACGATGATTTGGTTGCAGGTGTTCGTTATAGCAGCCAGGTCTCTATTTTCGGGTTTGTGAAGATGGTATGTCACTAGTTGATCTGTTTTTTAGGTTAGTCATTGCTGCTTCTTGTTTTGTAGGTATTCTCTTAGCTTTTTTCGCTGACTCGGTGTTATCATTGCAGCTCCCTCTTTCTCTGCTTAAAACAGCACAGGGTCATCCTATGGTAACAATCTTCTTCCTGTTGAAATGCATTTAGGGTTAGGATTTTGAGGTTCCATTGTCCATTAGAATGTACCAAAACTGGTTAAACTTTTCTAATCTTGTAGGACATCTTTTCTCTCTCTCTCTCTCTCGATTATATTTGTACGCTTTCAATTCGTTATCTTACGGTGATTATTTGTTGGCATAGTTAGTGGAGCTGAAGAATGGAGAGACGTACAATGGGCATTTGGTAAATTGCGACACTTGGATGAACATTCATCTACGTGAAGTCATCTGTACTTCGAAAGTACGTTCTTATTGTCTTTGAATTGAATCTGAGTTGCCTTTTAATCAGTAGTTCTGTCTTTTCTGATATGTAGTTTGGGTCTAACATGTAGGATGGAGACAGGTTTTGGCGAATGCCAGAATGCTACATCCGTGGGAATACAATCAAGTATCTCCGAGTTCCAGATGAGGTATGCCATAAGATTCTATGGCTTCCAGAATTTTCATTTTTATCCATACCTATTTCCTGTATTCATTCTATTCAGCTTCTCTGGGTTTTTTCTTCTTTGAATATTGGTTCATCATTAAAAGAACTCCCCAAGCTTTTAGTGCAAGCATTTTTTTTATTATTATTCCTGTTATGTACATTTGAAGGTCTTTTGTTTCTGCACACATCAAAGTGTGAACCCTTTTTTCTCCAACTTGGTTTGTTTAAAGAGGTTGCATTTTTGTTTTTGTGCCGAACTCATGAAAGGCATTGATCTGTCTTTGGAAGGCTTGTTCTTGTACAGCATTGAGCTATCCAAATACTCTCCTGAGTAACCAAAAGCCTTATATAGATAACCCAATATATTTTACTGTTTGTCATTTAAGAAACCAGGTCAGATTTTCTTGGTAATTGCTTGCAGTTTATTCCACTTACAGAGGTTCCACTAATCTCACAAATTTTATGTAGTGATATAACACTATTTTGGTGATAATGTGATGATTGAATAATTAATTTTTAATAAGCAGATTTCAAAAGGAAATATATATTCAAATGGTGATCCAGTACCATATGGAGGGCCTGCAAGGGGATTATAGCCAACATTCAATATATTACCAGGAGTTTGATCAGATTCACTTGAAGAATTTTAAGAGTTTCATCAACTATCCTACCACCACCTTGGAATCCCCTTCTATGATCAACCTTTGTATGTTCATTTCTTTTGCCCTTTTTACTCCTACCACAGCCAAAACTTCTGCCTTTAAGGAGTCACCTACACCAATCAACTTTCCCCCTATTTCTTTTATTAGTATTTCCTTCTTCCATCCTGGGGTGATGCATTTTAGCCAAATCAGACACTGGGATGCTCCTTAAGGCATTGTGCACTTGTTTTCACTAGTTGCTTTGGCAAAGGCATCATAATGATCTTTGCCAAGCACTAGATCCGGCTGTGGATCAGAAAGCCTTTTGTAGAAGCGTGCCTCTCTGGTGATATAGCATTGAGATTGGTTGCTTGCTGACCAGGCCCCCTCCCTTTGTGAATGAACAAGATGCCCGTTGCTATGAAATCTGTTGCATGTTGGGCTTAGCTGTTGTCATTTATCTTTTGTTTAAATTGATAATGAAATTTCATTCTGCCTCCTATCTTCTGAATCATTTTGTAGTTTCTTTTCTCTGATGAGCATTTCATTTAGGTTCTATTTGTAGGGCTGTTCACGGGTCGGGTTGGGTCGGTTTACTGGCGTTTTCCAACCGACCGACCTGGTCGGTTTACCTAGAAATGAAATCGAAACTGACCCAGTACTAAGTAAAACCAACCTACTCGGTTTGGGTCGGTTTTGTGAATGATTCTCTCGGTGTGAACGGTAAAGGATTCAAGTCTAAGAAAGCAAAGGCTGGATGCCTGGAAATTAAAAATGATTTGATAGATTAAAACTGATATTTTATATATCAGAAATTTTATATATAATATATATTTCTGAAATAAAGCTGAAATATATATATATATATATCCACAAATATATATCTGAAATATATATATATATATAGTAAAACTGAAATATATCAGATATATATATATATATAAATAATATCTGAAATATATTATATATATAATATATATCTAAGTTGGTTCGGGTCGGTTCGGTTTCGGTTTTCACACATGAAAACCGAAACCAAACCGAACCATTGGTTTATGTTTTTTTGTAACCCGAAACTGACCGGTGCTGAAGAAAAACTGGCCAACTCAGGTTGGATCGGACCGGGTTGGTCGGTTTGGGTCTTGTTATGAACAGCCCTGTCTATTTGTTTACTGTATTAGAGAGCTTAAACTAATTATAAAAATAGGGGGGTTAAATGGTTGTTTCCTTTTTACTTCAGATATATTAGTTCAACCATGATGTAGTTTTACTAGCTGCATGAGTTTGCTTCTTCTGAACCGACAATGTTTTCTTTTATGGTTTTAAGTTAATTTGCTAAATAAGAGCACCACTCATCATTGGATATTGTATGGGCATAGTTTCTTTTGTGCTTGTTTGTTGATCTTTAAGTTGATTTTTTTTCTCAGAGATGCCCTATTTCAATCTTTGTTTTTTATTTCTTTCAATTTAGTTGCTTATTTTCTCTGTAGTGTTGGTCTGAAATCATCATGTGAACTCCTCGAAAGGTCTACCATAAAAGAAAGGCTAGCTTTTGTTTGTTCTCTAGCTTTTAGCATCTATATTTTCTAGATTGATCCTTTAAAATTATTATGTTGAGTCTGTTGACACACTGTTTGATTGAAATATCAAAAGATGTTTAAGAAATGGTTTCAGCCAATAATCCTATTGAAAATTTTCAATTAATTCATATTGACTTTATTCTGAAAATTTAATTATTATTTGAAATACAGTGGTACATACAAAATATGAGATCTTTCAATGTTGACAATATCTACGAAGCACAGTGTGGATCTTATAGAAGTCTTGCATGTACTTATGCCATAGAAATTAAAGGGTCTAAAAAAATTAGGAAGTTAATGGTTTATAAATTTTTTCACATGTTTTTTTTTTGAAAAATTATGAGGCTTATTTCTTGTTTTCCCCCAAGTCTTATGTCTCAGAATACACAAGGATTATGCCTCTTCTTTGTAGGTTGAACTGCCTCATCTTTGCATCATAATTGCATCTGTAACATATTATGTCTATCCTTGTTGGGGCCATACTTAACCTTTAAATTTTATTCAAAAGCATAATTTCTTGGATTTCTTTGGACAGAAATATCCTACTCTTTTATTTGTAGGGTGGTGTCTTATTTGGCCAATCATGAGCTGTGGTTCATCCTAGCTTTCTCATGATATGGAACCTAGTTTTAATTTTCTCATGGATACGTCTTGGTTACCTTGGCACATACCTGTGGAACATGGTATGAGAGGGTTTCAACAGAATCCTATAAATTTGGATTTGAAATTATCAGTTCATAATAACCAATGATAAATCAAATCTCCCAATTAGTGTATCCCTTTTTCCTGAGCCTAACATGTGGTGCGATGTATTCACATGGTCACAATACTTTCTTGTGGCCTTCCAATAAAACACTAACATGCTATCAATCAAAAGAAAAAACAAATCACCCAGTGGATGACTGTGTGATTTGATTTCAATTAGTTTATGTGGTCTAAACACTTTATTGTGACCCTCTCCATTAAGTCATAAACATGCTAATAATCAAACTTAAATCCAAATAACCTTGCAAGTGCATGCCTAGGTGATTTGGTTTTGACTAATCCACATGGTCAACACACATTTTTACAACCCTCGAATGAAACATAGACATTCTTTTAATCAAATGAAAGGCAAAATTACCCAATACCCAGTGAGTGCATGCTTGTTATTGCTGCTCCAAGTGATACATGAACTACCTGCTATCATATGATAAAATGGAAACTACTTCTAGGATCTACCACCTTACTAGGAATATCAAAAAATATGAAGGTAACTTAACATGTGGAGCAATGAGTTCACACAATCTTAACATTTTCTTGTGGCCTCTAAAAAACCTATACATGCTACAAGTCAAAGGATAAACCAAATCACCTAGCGAGTGCATGACTGGTGATTTGTTTTGTTTTTGTTTTTTTGGATCAGCAACACGGGGTAATTTGATTTTCATGACTTCACATAGTCACAACAGTTTCTTGTGACCATAATCATAAAAAAAAGTTTCTTGTGACCATCCAATAAAATACAAACATTCTCCTATCAATCAAACAAAGAACCAAATAACCCAGTGAAGGCATGCCATGCTTGCTACTGCTACACCAAATGACACAAGAACAACCCGCTATCATATAAAATAGAGACTACCTGTAGGATATACTACCTAACTATGCAATCTGGTAATACCGAAGTAGTTAAACATGGAGAGTGATGCCTAGGTGATAAAGCGTTCATGGAGGGTCGCCTCACTTAACCGCAAAGATATTTTTTACACAATGCTCTTGGATACTTTTATATTCTTAACGTTCTGAGATTATAATAATGAAACAAACATTATTACACTAAGTTATTTAATTTGAGTTAAATACTTGTTTCTTTTTATTATTTTTCTTATTTGTTAGGGTTCAATGAAGATGTACACTGTCTTGAACCCTTGAAGACTGCAAAAGTAATGTTGTCAAAATCTTACAATTTACGATACGATTCACGATTTGAATCATGAATCCCAAGGGTTTCGATTCGAATCTTATGTCTGAATCCTTTTCTACGATTTTTGTTTGAATCCTACGATTTGATTCATAAATCTTACGATTTTTACAATTCACTACGATTCAAATAAATTCAATGAAGAATTAGTTTTCTACTTTGTTTTTTTTTTTTTGTTTATGTTTAGTTTTGCCATGGGACACTTTTTTTTAAAGCCCTTACTAGAAAATGATTTATTTACATTAGTCAAGACTAGAAAATTGAGTTTATTTTCTATCATATGTAGATTAAAGGGGCGCTATATGTAGATTTGTTTGATTTTCAAGTCAAACTTGATTATATCATCTTAGGATTCTATTGTATAAGTGGTAAGTTCTATTGTTTTAAGTAGATATATGTAGATATAGATAAAAAAATGCGGTAAAGTCACTTTCCTATATACATTTAGCCTTTTAATATATCTATATATAATTTTTCTGACAGGTTCATAAAAATTAGAAACAATCTTATTCACGATTCAATTCAATTCAATTAAACTCTCTACGATTTACGATACGATTACGATTTTCAAAACATGCAAAACCTGAACTAAAGCATGGAAGAACTCAAAATTCTTCTTGTTGATTTTCTTCTTCCATTAAAAATAAGAAAAATGAAAGCTCTTTACTCCTCCCTCTTCCTTCCCATACTCCTCTTGAAGAGGCTTACGGCTCCTTGTGCTCAGTAGGCTTACACCTCTTGTGTTCTGAAGCACACTTCATGCCTCCAGGTAGTGGAACAACTTACATCATGCCTCATTTAAAACATTGAAGTGGTTGACATATGTTTCCTACTTTATGTCAACCACTGGAAACTGTAGCAATGAATTTTCTGTTACATGGGGGTGCTTGATATGGAAGATTTAGATTGTCCATCTAGTGTTTGGGGAGGAAGAAGCTTTGTATTAACATTGTATATGGTTTGTTCAGCTTTGCTACATATCCACCATGCGTTGCATCCTTTCCATTTGAAGCATAACTACTTAGGCAACAAGGTAAAACCCTTGAACAAGATAGGCCCACTGTACACTTTTCATAATTCCATATCACAAGCAACATGAAATAACATAAAACATCTTTAGAGAAAGAACATTATAACTAACATTAATAAATACTACCAAGTAATTCTTCTAAAGTCATTAAAAATATACACAAGGAGGTATTGTGAAAGAATAGGGCAAAGCCTGTATGACTTTGCTGTTTCTTGATGTGGTTTGGTGTGGGGTGGTTTCTTGTTTATTTGTTTTTTCCTGGCTTTGTGTTGCATTGTCGGATGGTTTTCTTGGTGGTCTTTACCTCTTTTATGTTGGAATGTTTTTTTCTTTTTTTCCTTTTAGGTGGATTAGAGATTTAGGGGTCTTCTTTGTGTATAGGTTCTTTTGTAAAGTGGGTTGGGGGAGGGTGCTAGGTTGGTCCACTTTTTTCTAATATTTGGGTGCAATTGCGTCTGTTAATTTTTTATACAAAGGGCCTGGCCTCTTATTAGTCTGAACATTATTATTCAATTCTTTTATGTTTGTGAGTACTTGATTCACTTGATTGTCAGCTTTGACTAAAAGATGGCTGAGGTATTCCATCAATGATGGAGTTGTAAAACATTTGACAGGTATTTTTGTGGTATTTAGTATTATTGTTTACTGAACTCTTGCTTTGCTAGTCTTCTTTCTATATTAGCTTTCTGACCTGTAAGTATGCTTTATTTATTTTAGGCTTGATAGGACATCACATCAGAACACATTTAACATGATTGGTGTGCTGGCCCTTGACAGTCCAATTAAGTGTCTAGACATTTTTCTTAGCACATCAATGATTTTGGTGTTATTGGAAGTTGTGCTGCAACAATATTAATAAAATTTACATCTAGTTTATAGTATGATCACCATTTACATGTGATTGACTATACAAATATGTTATTCTGTCCGATGGCTCAAGGGGTCATGACAAATGCCTTGTTATGTTGTAGCTTCACGGTTTCTATTTAAACTGATTATGGTCATGTTGGATTTGCTTTCTAGGTGATTGACAAAGTCCAGGAAGAAACCAAGAGCCGTTCAGGTATATATTTGCCTCTTTTTGGTTATATTTGTTGAATGGGCTGGTAATTTATTAATTGATTATAATGTAGGTCATATTCTAGTTTTTTGAATCCTTTCTTTGAAGCATATAATCTTCCTTTTTTATTGGGGGGGGGGGTTCCGTTTTTTAACTATTATTTAGTCAGCTGGAGTTATTTGATCCTTTCCTAGATTGGTATCATGGTATGTACTTGTGTCTGTCCTCCCCATTATCAAAAGGGTGCTCTTCCCTTCACCTGGATGCATTAATCTCGAAGGCTTAGTTTGGGTAGAGTACAAATACAAATATACAGTGCAAAACTTTAAGTTGTATTTCTAAACCTTGTATTTGCACTATACATATTTGTATTTGTACGCTCTCCAGGCTGAGCCTTAAGCGTAATTGCTATTGATCTTCTGTTTTTTGCTTTATTTGTTTGGTACATATATTTTTCAAGTCCACTCATCGAAGCATCCCATGCATTGGAAAGTCCGTAAGTAGAACCTTCTGGTTTTTACATGTTTCGTGTGAGAATTTTAATTTGAGTTTATTGGCAATTGATTTTTCAGATAGGAAGCCCCCTGGAGTGGGCCGTGGGAGAGGAAGAGGGAGAGAGGAGGGTGCCAGTGGGAGGTCAGCAAAAGGCATTGGGCGTGGACAAGATGATGGAGGTGCTAAAGGCATGGGTGGACGTGGTAAGGGTGGAGCTGGTGGCAAGGGTGGTGCTAACAGAGGTATGATATTCCTGTTTCTCATTATATTGTTAAACGTGAAAAATGAGAATTATGGATCCCTTTTCTGACAGAAACCATATGCATGAGCTCACATAATTCAGTAAGTTCCCTTAATGTAACTAAAACGCAAATCCTATCCTCAGTGAAGAAAGAAACCAAAGAATTAATTTGCTATGGAAGGCAATCCTCTATTAAGAATTTCCCTTAAAGAGCTGCAAGCTCGTTGGCTGAAGTTACTCTCGCAAGGCCGTTTTCTTTTTCACAAGTATCTTATAGATTCTTTTCCTATATCAGGTGGGGGGCGTGGCCGTGGCTAGTGGGACTGAATTATGCACTGAAAGGAGAAGAATTGTCGCTTTTAAAGGCATTTTGTTCCTTATGTTCCAACTCCAAGGTGAAAAGAATAGTGGTGGATCTTTAACAAAATCATGTACTACATTAATGGTTGGAGAGAAGGATTGCTTTAGAGCACCGGATGTAGTATAGGAGGAAGAAAAAGCATGTTTCCTTGTTTGCTTTGTCTTCTTAGCTGTTTGTGTTTAAGATCGTATTATATGGAATAACTTAAAGGACACATTGTACCCGTCTGGTTTTTTTATTTATAACCAGCAAAGATTCTGACAATGACAAGATCCATTCTTGCTGCTACAGAGCACTAGTCTGAAACTTTACTTGACCCATCCGAGTTCGATCTTCTGAACAAAGTCTTATTCTCCATTAAATATTAGTGGTTGGAGTTGGTTTCTCCCAAGGGTCCATTAATTTATTAACAGTATTCTAATCTGAGCTCGGTCTACATCCAATTGATATGGTTTGTTTCTAATTTGAATAACTCGTGAATCAAATTTGGATACGAGTAATATCTAATTCATCCATTCCTTTTTTTTCCCATAGAAATTTCCATCCATTTAGAGCGTTAAAAGACGGGAAACAAAATGCGTTTTTTCAGCTCATCTTTCGGATTTCTAATCCTTCAATTTCTAGGCATACATTCGACAGGAGTGTAGGACTAATAAGGTGACTTTTGCTGGTTTGGCAGTTTTTTTTTTTTCGTTTTGAAAAACAAAATCCTGCACAAGTGAAACTCCTCTAAATGTTTCTTGTTAATATCCTCGATAGTGGAATGCCGAGCATTGGGGTTATCCTGAATCCGTGTTTGAACACACGATGCCTTGGAACTGATCCAATGCCTGTGGGGCCTAGTTTGCTTGGAACAAAACGAAACTTTTGGGCCCCAAGAAAATTTGGTGACTACAAAAGCACAAGCACCTATTTTAATATTTAACGAGAAAAAGGGTCGAATTAACTTAGCTAGGATTGAAGGGATCGGCGTATCAGGTATCACCCTTAAAATCTGTCCCATCTGCCGTTTTCGAGAAAACTTAATCTTATATCTGTAGAGCTACAGACTTGCGAGAAACCAGAAACTGTTCATCGTCAACTGGGTATTCTAAACTTTGATATATCCCTGATTTCAGCTACTTTCCGTTCTAACACTCACTGATTCTGATGCATTTATAAACATGTAGCCGCTCAGAATGATGTGGACTTGTTTACTTTGTAATTCTAGTAAATCAATAGGCCCCCAGAGCTACCAGGAAACATGACAATTTAATCCAAGTGCGAGGAGAATTTACTAGTAAGGATGGTGTCTCTTTTTGTGAATTTTTGTTGACTTCATAGCAAGTGAACTTGAGATCCAAGAACGTTTTATTTCGGAGGATTCATCTGACACCCAGCAACACAAGCGACCATCCTCACCCCCCGTCCATCCAAAAATGCCTTGTGTACGAGCTGGCCCACCATGCAGGCTTGACAAAGATAGCACAGTCCTCACAACCCGTGTGTCCGCCCTCGAGTGTAGCTTCTGGAGGGCCTATTTCTCCCATTCCCTTGTAATTTATAGGAAAGTATCCCAACGTGCCAGTATTTGTCCCACCAATCACCCACAAACGATCATTGGCCTCTGAATATTGGCAATCAACAAAGTAATCAACCTGAAGACAGACAAAATGCTATAATAAGGACAAAATGTTGTCTAATTCATCTGAGTACATTATACTCTACAGACACTCCCTCAAGATGGATCAGGGCCTAGCATATTGTATCTTGTGCTATAAGGATAATGCAAGCTTAGATTTGAAGCCTATATCATCAATAAAAAAGCTTTTTTGATGTAAAATTGTCTTTCTCAAGACAAGACTGGTACAAATCCAAAATGTGAAACGGCATAGTTGAAGTTTTATAAATTACAATTACTTCAGTAAGCCCCCAAATTTTTATGATTCAAACTAGGATAACAGGATGGATTATTTGGTTCAATTCATGTAAAAGTTAGAGCAGAAATTTCTTGTGCCAGTATTTTTTCCTTGTTCTTTAAATGTTTCTTTTTGGAGGTGGGGGAACATCTAGTTGCATTCAGAGAAGTTGGAGCATACAAGCCCCAATAGCAGAAATGTGTGACTGGGCCCATCCCAATTTGTCTAATTTATCAAAAATGGAGTCTGAAAAAATCACTCTCCAAATTTTAATTGCATAGGTAGAAGTTTTAGAAAGAAAAACTGATACCATGCTAAAAGGGGCTCCTCAGGTTCCACAAAGAAATAGCTCACACAAGGTGAGTGTTAAAAGGGGCTCCTATAGAAGACCAGCCAATTGACAATTTTTATGCTTAAAATTTTGGATTTTTTATTGATCCCTCCACCTCAGAAATTTTTATGAGTTTGTATAGTTGAGAATAGTGACAGGTGGGAGAATCTATCACAATTTAAAGGGGTACTGTAGCATAAGTGGGAGTTTGGGACAATACATTCAGAAAACCAATAAAATTTTACGAGGGGGAGAAAACCATAAATTTCCCTAAAATTTTTCAATCATAATGTCAGCATCATCTAAGTCCTGTTCCAACTATATGGGGGGTTCGGCTACATGAAACCCATTTTGCTGTTTAGTTCTACTCACACCCTAACATGAGCATAGAAAGACACTTCAGGATCCATGTTCATAAATGTTTTGCAAAGATTTTAATGCCGGCAACCTGATACAACCCTCTATCTGGGCTTGGGACTGGCAATGCAAGACAAGCTCAAAATTTTCAATTGTGATGTATAGAACAATAGATGATAAATGAACGTAGCAGCTATGTTGTATGGTGTGGAGTGTTGGGAAGTTAAGAAGCATCATACCAAAAAATGGGTGTGGCAGAAATGTGAATGCTTTGATGGATGAGTGGTAAAGCTAGAAAGGACAAGGTCAGAAATGAAGTCATACAAGGAACCTAGGAGTAGCTTAAATAGATGATAAAATGAGAGAAAGTAGACTGAGTTGGTTTGGTGACGTGCATAGAAGACCATCCCTAGCACCTGTTAAAAGTGATCTATTGCAAGTTTAAGGAGCTAGAAAAATTACTAGTAAGAAATGATTTAATAACCCATAAATTAATGATGTATATGGCACGGAGCAGAATATGGAGAAACAGGACTCGTATAGCCAACCCCATTAATTGGGACAGGGCTTAGATGATGATGAATGTACAAAAAAATAATTTTGTGAAAAAGTAACATAAGTTGTATGACCATATGCTTCTAGCAATCTAGTGAATTAAAGGATCAAACATTCTATTTCAGGAAACAAGACTGGCTCACATGATTTAGGATCCAGCTTTTTGAGGCAGATGAACGAGCATCCTCAAAGTTGGCTTCATTTTTCCATTTCTCCAGTCCCATACACTGCAGGGGAAAATAATTAGCCTAGAAGACAAAATAAACATTCCAATAGAATCAAATATAAAAATAGTAGACAATATATATTGGCATGGGATTTTCTGGTTGGGTCATCCAGCCTAGAGATACATCCAGGAATAATCTGTGGCACCCTAGGTAGTGGCCAAAAGGGCATTTCCTGTGCTCCACCTATTCATGAGGCAACTGCAAATCCAAAAGGAGCTGCCATTGTGGCATTGTGAAATGGAGTCCTTCATCCATGCATTTCTTAATTAAACAAAAGTTTTCAATTGTTAGCATCACCAGGTAAGCTTCTAATGCATGTGTAGAGAGCTGAGGTAAAACATAAGGAGGTGAATCACTGAGAAAAGTATTCTACACACTCCTAATGTAGACCTCCTATCATCTAAGCATCCTGTCCAGTCTGCATCTATATAGGATTTTAGCTTCAGATTCTCATGATTTGAGAAAAGAATGCCTCTACCAGGGTGCTTTTTCAGATATGCAAGTATTCTCTCAATAGCTTCCTAGTGTTGAACCCGAGGTGCATGCATGTACTGACTCACAACACTGACAGCATAAAAAATATTTGGTCGTGTCATACACAAATATAATAGTCAGCCCACCATTCTTTGATATCTCCCCACACTCAGAGTCCCCTTCAACTACCAAGTGCTGAACTCCTAATTGTTCTGCAATCTGAATACCTTGTACCACCACTAACATCTCAGCTCTATTGGAGTCTCCTATTCCCAGGGGGCCTGAAAACAATGCTAATATTTTTGCTTCCATTACCTCTCAGCACCGCTCCTATCCCTGATGGGCCTAGGTTTCCTTGGCTGCTTCCATCAAAATTCAGCTTTACCCATCCTTCAGGTGGAGGCATCCACACTACAGATTTCCTGTCCTTCCTTGTATGGCTGTTAGCCACAGCTATCCAGTTTCTCCAAAAATCATCAAAGGAGAATGTATGAAATAAGAAAGTTAATTGTTGTTATCCAGAAGTTACCATTGTTGTGAATATATAGATTCATTCCACATGTGAATAAAGAAATAACATTGGTAATCATCAAAAGAATAACAAAAATACCGTACCTGAGATTGACACCCACAAGCAAGAAGGTTATCGTTGGACCCACCAAAAGAAAAGCTGAATATTTCTTGGGATGAACCAGCCCTTAATGAGCATACCTAACATGCATATATTTAAACCATTAAAAGGATGAATGAAGATCTTTATAGAAAATCAACATATTTGAGATTAAAACTGCACATTCAAGTAAGAACACGGACCAGCCTATGGTGTATATGCAATCTTGTTGTTGTAATCAAAATTTTAGAATGCCTACTGATCTTAATTTTGACAATGCACTATATCAAGTCCTTATAAATTGTAAAATTCTTTCTTGACCACCAAGGTCTAATAACCAAAACCAGCAAAACTAATCTCACATTCCAAAATGATTTTTTAGACTGCAAACTAATTATATATTGAAAGCCAAATGGATGACCCAATTCAATATCTTGTAGTCGGCAATCATCTCCAAAGGTAAAAGACATGTTATACTATATATGACATAACTGTGTGTTAGATATTAAATTATTGATGCTACACTTTTCTCCTTGAAAATTATCACTGGAGCGTCACTAACCTATCGATTAGGTAGCTTTTTTCCTCCACGTACAAATACTTTATACAATACATCTAAGTTATATTCCTAGTTTAAAATATAATATGCTTTTAAATTTCCTTCCTCTTATTTCTATTTTCATTTCTCTAGTCATGCCTCAATTTGGAGATGGAACTGCACAAGGTTAACATTGAGCCAATTTAAAAAACAAAATGCCTCTAAAAGCTGCAAAATATTATTCATAATTTATTTTTAGGGAAAATTGCTGAAACCCCCCTGAAGTTTGGTAATTGCAAT